ATATATATGTATGTATGTATAAACGCAACTTTAACAATAATATAACAAATGTGAATTAACGCGCGTTCGCATTACCGTGAAACGAGAAAGAAGGGCGGTGGGTAAACGGCCGAAATCCGCTCCTAAATTCTGCCTATATTCACCCTGTGAAAAAGAAAGAGAGGTGATATCACGCATAATTGCGTTAAATTACGGACATCCAAATTATCGGCATCGCTTAACGCGCGATCTCGCGCAATTTGTTGAATTTTGCGAGCACACTTTTTATGGCAGCGTTTTTCACGCTTTTCCGATCGTGTTAATATAATGATTTTGAACACGTCGGTACATTTAATATAAAAAATTTTAATAATACTATTTTTCTTCTCCATGTATATTCTAATTCGTACAAGAGTTGAAAGGCACGATTTCTGGCCGTTGTAGAGCATGCGTAAAAATCATTTACGAAATAAAAAGTATTTGGATCGTTTTGACGTCGATTATACGTCAAAACACTCGCAGTCTATTCCACGGTAGATGTATCCGGCTTTGCTTTACGCTCATTCCTGCAACTTTAATTCCATGCCGGAAGTCTTGGCTTTCTCTGAGAGCACCGCTAAGGAGTGCTCTGCAAATAGCGAATTGAACAAACATCTCATTTTCTTATCCTCTTTGCACGTCTCGAGTATTATAATCGTTTTGTAATGAACGTGTCTGTTCTCGATTTATTTGAACCCCCCCCCCCTCCACCCCCAGAGAAAAGTATATTTAGATGAAATAAATTTATTGTGGATCGATTTAATTTAATAATTGTTTAATTTTATATATTTTTTATCTTATATCTTATTATCATAATACCATGTTTATATATATATGATATAATGAAACGTCTATAAGAAATATATAAAAATAAAATTTTATAAGCTCTATTATAAAATTAAACTTGTTAAATTTAATCTAAATTAAATTATACTTAAAAAATTAATAATACATGATAAAAAAGATAAATATAAAAGTAGTTTAAAAATGACACTTGATTTAACTGTACACACATTTAAGATTATAATTATATTATATCTCTTAGATCGCGAATGTTGTTTTACGCGCTTAAAGTTTAAAATATAAAGTTATCATAGTAGTATAATTTAAAGTTTTATCTCTTTGGTGTGAAAATTATACTAAAGACTTTACGTCGAATTTTTTTGCGCGCAACTTTGGAAATCTTTATTCGCAGAAAATTGCTGCATTTGTGGCGGAGGAAAGTCGCCGAGTCGACCTTTACGCGATTACATGGATGAAAATTCTTGGAGAAAGCACGAAGAAATCTGTTTTCGCTATCTCCTCTCCCTCCCTTTACCAACTTTCCATTCAGTCGCGAAGGGGAGCCGCGAAAATTCGTAGCTCACAATGTTAGCGCAGGGCGAAATGAAAACGCGACAGCGAAATTGCCAATATCGTCACCCCGGATTTTCCTCGCTCCGCTCCTTTCCCGACCGCTTTCTCCCGAGCCAGGTTTCTCCCCCTTCCGATGAGACGATGAAAAGAGATGGAAGAGATCCCGCTCGATCCTTTCCTTCTTGTCGGTAAATTCGCCGGCAAATTCGCCGGAATTGGCGACAACGAGCGGGACAGAAATTTCTAAATATATACTTGTACTATGCATACATTTCAGGATATTTCTTATATTATATACTTTGCGAACAAAGATTCGATCTTTTCAGTTAATTTATTAACTGAATTAATTTTATATATTTTTATTCTATATTTTATTATTATAAAGTTTGTTTATGATTTACATTTAACGTTACAATTTCTTTTAGATGGCGAGCGTTTACGCTTCTTTCAAGAAAATTCTTCTCGCTTTTAATGATACATAAATTTTGCTCGAAACTGTTACTCTATATGTTTTATTTTTTTCCGACCACAATATAATCCGTGGTCCCTCGTGTATAGTCAGGATCTCGGTAGCGCGACTCTGCGTATGGTCAGCCGCAGCTGGCAGTGGACGTGCCACGTGTCGGTCGGACTCTCACGAAAGCGAATGAGGGTGAGGAAATACAAAGAAGGACGGATAGATAGACACCACAGCATATATTGCATATATGGAATTGTTTCGTGAAAAAGTGAGGAAAATAATTTAACGAAAATTAATTAAAAATATAATCGTTTAAAAACAGTATGAATTAATTAAAGCAAAATTTTTATAATTGCATGAATACGTTTGTGATGAATATAAATTTTCTCGATAAGATTGTTTAT